TTCAGACAAATGGCTGTCCAATCTCTTTTTTAAAAGCTTCCAATGATGGACCACCCACAACTTCTGGAGGCAAGTCGTTCCACTGATTAATTGTTCTAACTATCAGGAAATTCGAGAGATGAGAAAGGGGAGGGGGAACCGCTTCATTGGTAGCAAATTGCCAGCGACTGGTCCTCTTTGCAAAATATACATTTGGTTCCCACAACCCCATGACATTTTTTTTAAAAAAGTCTTTTTTATCTGGGGTCCTAGTTCTTCATAAGAGGCTATCAGTAATCCAACAGTCCAACAGACTGGGCAGATGGCAATCGTTCTTTTTCATTGAAGCATACTAGATTATATCCATGGCAGAAATGGTTCCAGGAAGAGAGGGACAACAATTATACCTGAGAGTGCCAAGGACAAGTTGAAGTTGCATTTAACAGAATAAGAGAATAACAGAGTTGGAAGGGACCTTGGAGGTCTTCTAGTCCAACCCTTGCTCAAGCAGGAAACTCTATAACATTACGGACAAATGGCTTCCGGTCTTTTCTTCAGAGCCTTCAGTGATGGAGCACCCACAACCTCTGGAGGCAAGTCGTTCTAACTGTCAGAAAATTCCTCCTTAGTTCTAGGTTGCTTCTCTCTTTGATGAGTTTCCATCCATTGCTTCTTCTCCTGCCTTCTGGTGCTTTGGAGAATAGCTTGACTCCCTGTTCTTTGTGGCAGCCCTTCAAATATTGGAAGACTGCTATCATGTCATCCCTGGTCCTCCTTCTTTTCACTAGATAGACTAGAGCAGGGGTAGGCAACCTTGGCTCTTTTATGACTCATGGACTTCAACTCCCAGAATTCCTGAGCCAGCCATGCTGAGGGGAAAGGGAGAGGTTTCCAAGCTGAGTCAGGCTGGCTCAGCTTGGAAACCTCTCCCTTTCCCTTCAGCATGGCTGGCTCAGGAATTCTGGGAGTTGAAGTCCATGAGTCATAAAAGAGCCAAGGTTGCCTATCCCTGGACTAGACTAAGAAGCTGAAGCAATGAGATGAGGCCTGGAATGTTCTTTCTCAAATCCCCCTAACTCACGTGCTGCCATGCCTGGCAACCTGTTTCTTCTGCCAAGTCTTCATGTCATTGTATTTAACCTACTGCCAACCCATGGTTGAGTTCCAGAGAGCTACAAGGAAGTCCTTGACTTACGACCACAACGGAGAGCCCCAAATTTCTGTGGCTAAGCGAGGCAATTATTAGTAAGTTTTGCCCTGCTTTATGACTGCTCTTGCCACAGTTGTCGGAATCTCCCTGGGAAAGTCACAAATGATGATCATCTGTAAGCTGCAACCATTATAAATACATGCCGGTTGCCAAGTGCCCTAATTCTGATCACACGACCATGCGGATGCTGTAACGGTCGTAAGTGCGAGGACAAGTCACAAGTCACTTTTTTCAGTGCTGTTGTAACTTCAAACAGTCGCTAAATGAATGGTTGTAAGTCGAGGACTACCTGTATAATTCAGCTGCTGACTAGACATAACACCTATGTACCATCTCCTAGGAAATTCTAAATTTAGACCTATTAGGTGAAATGTAATCTTCAAACAACATGCCCCACGTTCATTTCTTGTCATGTTTGATTAGAGAGGTTCTATTACTACTGATCTGGATGGCAAGGAAAGTCCTCAACTCTCTGCATGTTTGTGCACACATAGATTAGTGTATTTTTTAGTTTATCTGGTTCACCTTTAAGACATTTGCAAATAACATTCCATAATTCTGTATTTATATTTCTGTATCTATCAGTTTATACCTCTGGGCATCTTAAATCAGGAAACAACCCAAATGCTAAAGTTGAGCAAATGCCACACACAGAAAATGCTCTTGGCTATCTGTTCCCACGCCGTTGTCAGCCCCTTTTGTTAACGCATCGCCTTGAGGACAAAATTGTGGTGTCATTCACTTTGCAATACCATAACTCTTTAAAAACAAGACGTGAACGTCATGTCATGTAGGATAGTTTTTCCTTAAGGCTGTCCCTGGATGCAGTGGGTTTTTCCTCTCTGAATTTCTTCTCTTGTCTGCAAACAAATCAAAACCCAGCAAATTTTAAACCTGCTTTAATCCCTGCATGCAACTTTCTATAGCTTTGCTGGCCTCATCTTTCCTCCAGAACTTTTGTATTTATTTTAGACTACCTGTACCCAGCCACGCGTTGCTGTGGCTCAGTCTGGTAAAAGCGTGTGTTGCTTTTACGTCCAACAGATGGTGCTGTTTTTCAAAAAAGCATGTTTTTACCTGTCACAGGTGTGACATCTATATAATATAAGTATATAAAAACACGCCCGTATTCGAGTGCAACGTTGTGTCAAAATTTCAAAGCAATCGGTGAAGAACTTTCGGAGATTTAAGATTTTGAACAAACGAACATTTACATTTTTATTTATATAGATTAAATTACATGACAGCCTGACAACATGTCATGACCGGTTCCATGGAGAGAGGTTTTTCCGTGGACCGGAGGGAGCGTGGTTTTGTGTGCTGCCTGCATCTCCTGGATGGGGCTTTGCTTGTTTGTGCGGCCCGGTTGCTGGCATGCTGCGGCCTGGTACTGGTCCACAGACTGGGGATTGGGGAACCCCTGCTTTAGGAGAAACCCAAAGAGGTTCCTGATATTAGCTTTAGATTAGGCCTCTATACAGGTAGTCCTTGACTTATGACAGCAATTGAGAGTCAGGGTCAAAAATTGTCAAGATGGCATCTACAACCATGTGAATTTCCCTGCTGGAACCTTTGAGAAACTAGGAGCCACATTTTGGTTTCCCATCTCGGAAGCCACCAGAACTGCTGAGAAGTCATAGGAAGACTCTAGGCCAGTGGTTCTCAACCTGTGGTCCATGGACCCCCTTGGGGGCCGCAATGTCATCACAGGGGGTCCACGAATGCTTGAAGAAATGTCATGATTTAAATCTTGAGTTAAGCCTTGGGGGTCCGTGGCCACAAAAGGTATTTAAAGGGGGTCTGTGGTGAAGAAAAGGTTGAGAACCACTGCCCTAGGCCATGCTGGCTGGGGAATTCTGGGAGTTGAAGTCCACAAGTCTTAAAGATGCCAAGATTGGACACCTTTGTTCTAGGCTACACAGTTTGGGTGTTCCATACCTGGAGGAGTTGGTTGAATTCATTGGTGCGTGATAAACGCTCTCTGTGATTCTTTGGTGAAGCTGGCTTGCTTCTGTTACAGAAAAAGAAGGAAAAACAAAATGAATATTTCATTTCTACACTTACTGGAACAAATAAGCTTGTTGATAAGCTTTTTTTTAAAAAATAGATTCCTTAGTTATGTTTTTATTTTTTTTTATTCACCACCCAGAGTTCCATTTTTATACACGGGGCTTTATACATTGGTTAAGTAAATAAATACATGGCATACCCTATCCCAGGGGTAGGCAAACTTGGCTCTTTTATGACTCGTGGTCTTCAACTCCCAGAATTCCTGAGCCAGCATGGCTCAGCTTGGAAACCTCTCCCTTTCCCCTCAGCATGGCTGGCTCAGGAATTCTGGGAGTTGAAGTCCACGAGTCATAAAAGAGCCAAGGTTGCCTACCCCTGCCCTATCCTATTGCAACTTTAGCATGAATTGAAGCGATGAACAGGGAAGCGAGAACATACTAACACTCCTTCCTTCTCCTATCTGAGAGTCACTGACCCAAAGTCACCCAGCAAGCTTTGATGCCTAAGGCGGGACTAGAACTCACTGTCTCTTGGTGACTGATCCACATACACCCACCTAGCTTTCATACCTAAGGCGGGACTAGAACTCACTGTCTCTTGGTGACTGATCCACATACACCCACCTAGCTTTCATACCTAAGGCGGGACTAGAACTCACTGTCTCTTGGTGACTGATCCACATACACCCACCTAGCTTTCATACCTAAGGCGGGACTAGAACTCACTGTCTCTTGGTGATTGGTCCAAAGTCAACCAGCTGGCTTTCATGCCTGAGGTGGGACTAGTCTCCTGGTTTCCAACCTGGTGCCTTAATCACTAGAGCAGGGATGTCAAACTCAATTTCATTGAGGGCCGCATCAGCATTGCGGTTGCCCTTGGGGGGGCGGGTGTGTGTGGCCAGGGTGAGTAAGGCCTACTGGGTGGGCATGGCCAACTCTACATCATTCGCGTCAAGGGTACCTGTGGGAGCATGGGCAGGAGTGGGACAGATCTGAGGGTCTCTGGCAGAAGGGATCAAGCCGGATATGTGAAGTAGGCGAGGGCCATTTGCTGGCCACTTCCAGGCGATGGTGCATTTCTTCATTCCTCACAAAGGGTGACACCTCCCCAGCATGCACCCATGGGCCGGGGCCGACGCGGCAGGGGCTGGTTCCTCGCTGTTTCCAGATGGCCTTGTGGAGCTAAGACTGAATGCGTTTCAGCATAGATGGCCACCACAAAATTGTACATTAGCTCCCGGCTGGCCTGGGCCAGGGCCAAGGCAGCGGGGGCCGTTCCCTCATTGTTTCCAGAATGGCTTCGCGGGCCACATGAAAACACTTCGCGGGCCGCATCTGGCCCCCGGGCCTTGTGTTTGACATGTCTGCACTAAAGCAAACAGTTCCTAGGAAAATTTAGTAATTGATGCAGTGCCATATGTCAGTCCGTTGAGGTTGATAGTCATGAAAAAGGCACTGCAAGAATTACAGGAATTCTACTTTATAACAGAATCTTAAAAGCCTGAAAGATTTTCCCCTTCTGCCAGGGGTTAAAAAAAAAGTACTCTAAATTAACATGGGAAACAGTTGGTGGACCTGAGGTCTGGCTCCCAATGAGAAAAGGAAGAGAAATGCTATTGTTTGCTGTCTAACACAATGCATAGTTTGACCCGAGTTTCCTAAAAAAAACCTCAGGTTGCTATTAAAAGTATCACCGGCTGGGATCATGCAATGATGAGTGGAGAAATAGGACCGCTTTGCTTACAACTTCTATCAATATTCAGACACAAACATTTTATGCTTGACTTTGGCTGATGTGGAGGCTAGCGGGAATGGCCTGGAATGAGGAGGGAAGGAGCCACTGTCAAGGCAAGAATCAACAGGAAGGGCTTGGACCTCTTCTAAGAAACTAACTTGAGAATAGTCTCAGACAAGCCCCTTCTCCTTCACCCAAACTAAAGGGAGGGAGTGGAGAAAGACAATCAGATTCGCAATCCTTGTTTTCATATTGTGACAATAATAGTTCTGATCTACATGGCGTTGATTTCTTAGTCTGGTCTACCTTGTAGGGTTAGCAGCCAGTATATCTGGAAAAAAAACAAGCTACTGTATGCTCAAATTATATTATTAGGAATTGTGGTATATCCTGGAAGTTGACTAGATAAGGTAGATTTATGTGCACTGGATTTGATGGAAATACAGCAGTGTTTCTGCGGGAGCCGAGTGGCTCACATCGTTAGGACCATAGTTAGGACAATCAGCAGTTAGGACAATCGCTCCATAGCAGATCCAGCAATTTGAAAGTGGGCAAGCGCAAGTAGATAGACGGGTACCACTTGGGTGGGCAACTTAACAGGGAGATGAAAGATAGCATCCTCAGTGCTAGAAGGGAATGGTGTTTGTTCTTTTTATGTACTGTACAGCAGGGGTCTTCAAACTTGACCCTTTTAGGACTTGTGGACTTCAACTCCCAGAATTCCTCAGCCAGGCATGCCTGGCTGAGGAATTCTGGCAGTTGAAGTTCACAAGTCCTAAAAGGGCCAAGTTTGAAGACCCATGCTGTACAATAACTTTCCCTGTCAGTGTTGATGGGCGTCGTCTTGGTAGTTCCTTGATTAGGCGGTTGTTTCCTGTTAGCTTGTTTGTCTGCGTTGGTAGTTCCTTAATTGGGATATTATTTAACTTCTTGATTGTTAGTCTAGGGTTAATCTTGATGTTAATCTCTGCTAATCTGGGTGTTGATTTCTGGCGGGGAGGTGTGTTGGGCAAGCCACTAGTATATAAAACGAGAGCAGACACCACTCCCTTTAGCACTGATAATGTTATCTAGTTTGGTAGTGTAATGTCTGAAAGAAAACAACCAAGCTCAGAGAGTGCCAAGGATCCCACGGAGAGGAATGTCTTCACAATAAGGATCCCTTGCCTGTGACTTCTAAGGTTGCCTTAGCATTTATTCCTAGGGGGCGAATGTAGGAGGGAAGGGCACAGAGGACCCTCCTCCCACTTTGCCACAGCTGGTACAGGATCAAGATAACAGTCAGCGCAATGCAAAATATCTGAGCAGCTGCATCTTGGCTAAACATAGGTCCCAAAGGCTGCCTGGTCTCAAAAGAAAGGAGAGAAGGAGACACAGGGGACAGATCAGCATCTTGTACTCCACACAATAGAAATATTTACAGGGGGAGGGAAAAGTCAACTCGGCAGCATCACGAATTCTTATTGCCTCAGAGGAAGAGTGCAGTGGAGAAGGTAATCTAAGGTGGAGGAAGCAAAAAAAAAAAGCTGCTAGATGTGATGCCCCACACATTTGCACACACAAGCATAGCAGTAATCACTAGAGGAGATCAACCCTGACTGCTCTTTAGAAGGCCAGATCCTGAAGTTGAAACTCAAGTACTTTGGCCACCTAATGAGAAGGAAGGACTCACTGGAGAAGAGCCTAATGCTGGGAAAGATGGAGGGCAATAGAAGAAGGGGACGACAGAGAATGAGGTGGCTGGATGGAGTCACTGAAGCGGTAGGCGTGAGCTTAAATGGACTCCAGAAGATGGTAGAGGACAGGAAGGCCTGGAGGAACGTTGTCCATGGGGTCGCAACGGGTCGGATACAACTTTGCAACTAACAACAACAACAACAATCACCTGGAACAGTTGGTGGAAGTTTATGACTTTTTTGCTGAAAGAAGAAAAGACTGAAGATTTATGGATCTGGGGATTAAAAAAGTTTAAAGAGGAAGGGGAAAGTTAAGAGGGAAAGCCTTTGAAGGAAAGAAGGGCAGAAGTGATAATACTATATTTTTCTAACTCTTTTCACCTTTCTTTTTGTATCTTTCTTGTCTTTTATATTCTATTTTTCTAGACTTCAACTGTATCAATGTGTATGTATGTATGTATTTATGAGTTGGTAGAAGCTATGGTCAGAAGGCAGGGCTGGGAGCCTCACCTCAAGATATACTAAAGATAGCCCCTCACATGTTTGTCATCTCATAGTTAGACTTCTATATTTCTTTTACACAGGCCTGTCCTTGAAGACTATCCAGAAAGATCAGCTTCACAAAATGTAGCTGCTTACTTACTTCCTGGCTGGTTGCAGCACTGCCATGGCATACCAGTGTGGTGAGGACACAAGACCGGGGGTCATTTGCCTTCTGCATCTCTCTCATGTAAGGAGAGAGGGGCTGATCCCTCTTTGCTCCTTCGGTGGGTTCCATGGGATGATTAAGAACACAACTGATTTATATATATATTAGGCACACTTAGCGGTTCCCTTGAGGTACCTCGATCCACTCCAGTGATGTTTGTTTGGGACATGTTTCTACAAGCTTTCAGAGAGGGAAAGAATGTGCAATGTTGATGGGTCTCCCAGCTACAATCCTACCTCTGCAAGCTTCCAGTTGTCCTGTTAGGACTTTCCTGATCTCTGACACCCATGTGGTCTTCAGTTCCATAGATGCTGCCTGAAAAACAGGGTACAATTGCAGTTACAGTTACAGTTGCGACAGGATACTTAGCAATGCGGTGGTGGTGAACATCTGTAGCTCGGGTGTAAGATGAGGGTGGAGGTTCGTTCTCTGAGCTTTCCGAACGTTTTGTTACCAGGTTAGGTAACATCTCCAGCGGAGTTTAGGGGATGTCCGCGTTCTTCTGCTTATAAGGGCTCAACTGACCTTCAACCAACCCAAACACTCATCCCCCAAACCAGCATTTCACCTCCCAATGATCCTCACTTGACATGATCTCCCCATCACAACACTCTCATCCGATGTGACCAACACCTGACCCCTCACAGGACCCATCCATCACAAGATGTGACCCACATCTGAGCCATCACAAGACCCTCACCTGTCGTGACCCACACTGTCCCCTCACAAGACCCATCACTAGAGCCATCAAAAGACCTTACATGACATGACCCTCCCATCAAAACACCTACTGACCACATGAAGTCCTTATAAGCAGAAGAACACCAACAATGACATTCCCTAAATTCCGCTGAAGGTGTTACCTGGTCTGGTAACAAAATATTCGGAAACCAACCCAGAAGCTCGGAGAACAAACCTCCACCCTCATACTTAGCAATGGCAAGAAATTCAGGCAAGGGTTCAGCTAAACAGTTTTGCATCTAATAGGTCTGCCATTCCTTCCCTTCCTATGTGTTTGGCCATTTTTATCCCTTTGGAGATCTAAATATCTTCACCTACAGAACAGCAGAGTTGGAAGGTCTTGAAGACTTGAAGGTCTTCTAGACCAACCCCTTGCTCAAGCAGGAGAACCTATACCCATGGTGACGAACCTATGGCACACGTGCCATAGGTGGCACGCAGAGCCCTCTCTGTGGGCACACGCGCTGTCGCCCCAGTCCTAGGCCTTCAGCTGGGTTTTATAAAACCTTTTCACTTTAGGCCTCCGCCGCCGTGTGCAAAAAAAAAAGGTTCAATCAATTTCAACTTCTCGCGGGGAAAAAAAAGATCTCGCAAAGTTGGAATTGATTGATTGAACTTTTTAGTCCCACCCAGTCTGCCGTTACCACCACAGCCATGCCCACCCAATGGGCCACACCCACCCAATGGGCCATGCCCACCCGGCACCTGACAATACATAAGTGGGTTTTGGGTTGCAGTTTGGGCACTCGGTCTCTAAAAAGTTCGCCATCACTGACCTATACCATTTCAGACAAATGGTTGTCCAATCTCTTCTTAAACACCTCCAGTGATGGAGCACCCACAATTTCTGAAGGCAAATTGTTCCACTGATTAATTGCTCTGACTGCCAGGAAATTTCTCCTTAGTCCTGGAAATCTAAGCACTCTTTCCATTTTCTGCTTGTAGGGACACTTACTGCAGAATAACTTGTAAAAGCTGTTCAATGAATTCACAACAAATTGTGAACCAGGACTTGCTGGCTAGGAAACAAATATTAATCTTAGAAAGGGAGGAAGCAAAACCTTGTGGGTTTTTTTCGTCTCGCTATGGCCCCAAGGTTTATTTTCTCCTGTAATTCTGAATAATCAAGAATATATGAGCAGGAAAAGAAAAATCTATAACTGCAATACCTGAATAATATAGACCTCTTCTCTGCCATTGTACCAGATCTCAAATTTCTTATGATCACCTTTGACATTTTCAGTAATACCAACAGTGCTCATCTGTTTGAAAGAGAAGTTTGAATAACAGGACATGATCATTGGTCATTGCAAGACATTTTGTTCTCTTTAGTTTACCTTAAAAGCACATGAGGCAGTTTGCGATAGCGGTTAAGACGCTGGCCTAGAAACCAGGAGATTGTGAGTTCTAGTCCCACCTTAGGCATGAAAGCCAGTTGGGTGACTTTGAGCGAATCACTAGGAGGCTGTGAGTTCTAGTCTTGCCTTAGGCAGGAAAGCCAGCTGGGTGACTTTGGGCCAATCACCAGGAGGCCCACAGTGACTCTGGACCAATCACGAGGAGAGTGTGAGTTCCAGTCCCGCCTTAGGCATGAAAACCGACTTGGTGACTTTGGACCAGTCCCTCTCTTTCAACCCAACCCTCCTCACAGGGGTATTGATATGTAGAAAATAGAAGGAGGAAGGACATTATGTATGTTCACTGCCTTGGGTTACTTATAAAGTAATGTGGGGGGGGGGATAAAAATCTAATAAACAAGTAAACAACAACCATGCAAAAAACAGGAAGACCTTCAGTTAATAATAATAATAATAATAATAATAATAATAATAATAATAATAACAACAACAACAACAACAACAACAACAACAACAATAATAAAAAGTTGGAAGGGATCTTGGAGGTCATCTAGTCTAACCCCCTGCTCAGGCAGGAAACCCCATACCATTTCAGACAAATGGCTATCAAGTCTCTTCTTAAAAACTTCCAGTGTTGGAGCATTCACCGCTTCTGGAGGCAGGTTGTTCCACTGGTTAATTGTTCTAACTGTCAGGAAGTTTCTCGAATCAAGATCCAACGAAGAGAGGAACTAATCAAAGGTAGGCAACGAAGAACAGGACGGAAGTCCGTGAAACCTCTTATCGAACTGAGGGAGAAGAAACACCGAGCCCCTGAGATATTGGAACACTGCTATCATGTCCCCCCTCGTCCTTCTCTTCATTAAACTAGACATACCCAATTCCAGCAGCCGTTCCTTATATGTTTTAGCCTCCAGTCCCCTAACCATCTTTGTTGCTTTTCTCTGTACTCTTTCTAGAGTCTCAACATCTTTTTTACATCGTGGTGACCAAAACTGGATGCAGTAATCCAAGTGTGGCCTTACCAAGGCATTGTAAAGTGGTATTAATACTTTTCGTGATCTTGATTCTATCCCTCTGTTAATGCAATCTAGCACTGTGTTGGCTTTTTTGGCAGCTGCAGCACACGGCTGGCTCCTATTTAAGTGATTGTCCACTAGGACTCCGAGGTCCCTCTCACAGTTGTTACTATTGAGCAAGGTAGCCCCTATACTCTACCTGTACATTTGGTTTTTCTTGCCTAAATGTAGAACCTTACTTTTTTCACCACTGAATTTCATTTTGTTAGATAGTGCCCAGTGTTCAAGTCTGTCCAGATCCTCCTGTAAACCAAGTCCACTCAGATGGAAATCTGTTTCCAGCCTATAAGTGGCCCACAACCTTTGTCCTGGCATTGCCAGGTTCAATGGATGCATGGAATGTTCATGCAGTTTGATTTCTCCTAAATAAATGCAAGGTCATTTAGAGTACTAACCACACAAGAAAAAGCCTTTAATGGGGATTTTGCACCAAGCCCCACTTCAGAAGCTGTCTTCCATGAAGGACACAGTTCCTCAGTTATAGCAACGGTATCTGACATTACAACAATGAGGATTTATGGGGTGGCAGCAAGGGGGGGCGATATTTTAACTTGGTCTAGAGTTAAAGGTTGCGTTAGCATTCAGCCCTGGGGTGGGCGGGGTGGGAGGTACAAGTATAGCAGGGAGAAGGCACAGGGAATGTTCCTTGTTAACCACACTCACTCCTGTATGCCACAGGTAATACAGAAGCACTACAAAAGTCACAAAGATGCTAAATTTACAAGCACCTGCCAAGCAGAGGTTCAACTTTGCTCATGTTAGGAGGATACAATAAAAGAGAAGAATGTTGAATCCTGCTTTCAAATCGAGAATCCCTTGGACTGCAAGGAGATCAAGTCCATCAATTTTGTTCTTTGGAAGGACAGATACTGAAGCTGAAGCTCAAATACTTTGGCCACCAAATGAGAAGAGGACTCACTGGGAAAAGACCTGTTTTTGGGACAGATGGAAGGCAAAAGGAGAAGGGGATGGCAGAGGGTGGAATACTCCATCCAGTTTTGGTCACCACGATGTAAAAAAGATGTTGAGACTCTAGAAAGAGTACAGAGAAGAGCAACAAAGATGATTAGGGGACTGGAGGCTAAAACATATAAGGAACGGTTGCTGGAACTGGGTATGTCTAGTTTAACGAAGAGGACGAGGGGGGACATGATAGCAGTATTCCAATATCTCAGGGGCTGCCACAAAGAAGAGGGAGTCAAGCTCTTCTCCAAGGCGCCTGAAGGCAGGACGAGAAGCAATGGGTGGAAACTGATCAAGGAGAGAAGCAACCTAGAACTAAGGAGAAACTTCCTGACAGTTAGAACAATTAACCAATGGAACAACCTGCCTCCAGAAGCTGTGAATGCTCCAACACTGGAAGTTTTTAAGAAGAGACTGGACAGCCGTTTGTCTGAAATGGTGTAGGGTTCCTGCCTGGGCAGGGGGTTGGACTCGATGACCTCCAAGGTCCCTTCCAACTTTATAATAATAATAATAATAATAATAATAATAATAATAATAATAATAATAATAATAATAATAATAATAATAATAATTATTATTATTATTATTATTATTATTATTATTATTAATAATAATAATAATAATAATAATAATAATAATAATAATAATAATAATAATAATTCGGTACTTGTCCTTAAACCCGTTTGAGGCCCTCTGTCACCTCCTGTCCCCTAGCATTTCTCAGCCTGTACTTATTGCGGACTTGTTTTACGACTGAGGTGATTTTAAATAGAAGATGACAATCCTCTCAATGTGGATTGCTTTGATTTCCACTTCATTACAGTCTATGCCATGGAATCCTTATGCCAGGGGTCTTCAAACGTGGCCCTTTTATGACTTGTGGACTTCAACTCCCAGAATTCCTCAGCCAGGCAGGTGTGCCTGGCTGAGGAATTCTGGGAGTTGAAGTCCACAAGTCATAAAAGGGCCAAGTTTGAAGACCCTTGCCTTAGGCAGGCATTCTCTTGTTCTGTATATCTAGAGTTCAAAACCCATGATGATATAAATCACAAACCACAAAACCTATGAAGTTTCTATGAGAAGAGACTCATGGAAGGTTAAAAAAATGTTTGGTAGCAATATAAATGCAGTAAAGAGTCAAATAGGTTAAAACTAGAATGTGGTGGGAGCCTGGAAGAGTGTTAAGGATGATCCCACCTTAAAAAAAAGAAAAGATGAAAAGTGAAGAGTAATATGTTTATTCTGGATTCTATTTAAAGTGTAATCTTGCAGCTGTCTAATCTTGACCAGAATCGTGTTATATCTAACCCCATCTTCTCTCATCCTTCCTAATTCCTTCAACGTTTCTTCATAGATCTTACTTTTTAGTTCCCTGATCATCTTCATTGCCATTTCCCTGAAGCTCTTTCTGTTTGTCTGAATCCATCTTAAAGTGGATTACTTTAAGGAAGGAATACCACTAGAAAAAGTTGAAAGGATCACGCACCTCGGTTCTAATTTACATGAAAGCTGGGACATGACCACTGAAGTAAAGGCAAGGATAGAGAAAGCTCGAACAGCATTCTTCAAAATGAAAAAGGTCTTCTGCAGTCACGACATAAGCCTAAGACTGAAAATCAGACTTGTCAGATACTATGTTTTTTCTATCCTGCTCTATGGAGTAGAGAGCTGGTCTCTGATAGAAGAGACTAGAAGCATTTGAAATGTGGATTTACAGGCGGCTGTTACGTATAAGCTGGGTTGACAAGATAAAAAATGAGGAGGTGATAAGCCGCCTGGGAAAGCCAAGGGAAATCATCAAAACAATTAAAAAACGAAAATTAGAATATTTCGGACATGTGATGCGACACCCAGAAAAATACGGCATCCTCCATTTAATCTTCCAGGGAAAGATTGAGGGCAAACGAGGTCCAGGCAGAAGAAGAACATCATGGCTTCAAAATCTAAGGGATTGGTTTGGACAAAACTCAGCAGCACTTTTTCGTGCGGCTGCTGATAAAAACATGATCGCCAACATGATCGCCAACGTCCGATAATGGATATGGCACAAGAAGAAGATATTAAAGTGTGATGGTAGCAATGGACACAATTCTGAAGGGGGGAAATCTGATCAGTTAAATGGAACCATGACTTTCCAACATTTGGAAACTATATTGTGTTGATGAAGCGTAAATTTAAATTTGCTTTTTTTTTTTGAAATGGCATCACATTTCTGACTCGTATTCAGATTGCTATCCCAAGACCTTTTTCACATATGCTCTTGCCAGTCTATGCTGTGTCTGCATAAGTTGCTCTTTGTCTGTAATAAATGCTACTCTATTATTTTCAGCTTGCGTTTCTAAGGCATTCACGCTCAATTTATTTTTCTCTTTTAGGGTTGAAGTTTTGAATCCATCTGCAGTTTTGTTTCAAGCCATATAATCTGCATCCTGTATCACTGCATTTTTTTTCTCCTAGCCTGTCTTTTATAGTGTTTGGAAAAACTCGTTTTTATGTTTGGTATAAAGCTTTTTCCTCTTGACGCAGAAATTGTTCCACAAAGGGCAATAGGTTGAATTTACCGTTGTCACGATTCCTTTGAACCTGCTTGAAAAGATCTATCCTTGTCTACCGTTGACAAATGAACACACCTGAAATTCTGGGATAAGCGCTTGATGTTCGTCCGTCCTTTAATTTCAAACGTCTCTCCCATTCCACTGTAAGAAATGGCTTACCTTCAAGGAATTTTTAAAGCTGTAGGAAGGAGACTTCTCGTGAGCATCTGTGTTCTCTTCCCGTTTCTTGCAAAAAAGTAGGATTTTGGCATATAAGAAGAGATGCCTCTGCATCGGCTTGAACCTGGCCAAGTCTTTCACTTTGTTGTGTCCCTTTTTGTGATCGGTCCAGATATTGAAGGAGCCCTGCAGGAGCAATTTACCCAGCTCAGCCACATCTCCCTAGAGGAAGAGAGAAACGGGACAGGAGAAATTACACGCATAAAACAAGGATTTAATACTAGCCTTTCGCTACATCCACACCTCAACTATCTTAGTCTCAATGCAATTTCATACTCGGTTTCCAGATGGATCGTCGTGCAAGAAGTCCTTGTCTTACAATCGTAATGGAGCCTGCCAATGACGGTTGTAAGTCATGACGATTGTAAAGTGGGCCATCACATGACCAACCTGATTTAATGACCTTTTGTTTGCTGTAGTTCACTAGGGAGCAACTTTTCAGCGAAAAATTTATAAACAGGGGTCATGTGATCGCGGGACGCTGCAAACAGCCATAAATGCAGGGCAGTTGTCGAGCCCCCCAAATGAGGTCACCGGGCTTGAAGAGAGGCCACCAAAACTTCAGAACTGGGTTATAAGCACCTTTGCACCATTACAACCACTAAGAAGTGGTTGTAAGGATTACTTGTACTCTATTGCTAGCAAAAGGATTACTTGTACTCTATTGCTAGCAAAAAAGAAGTCTTGTCCCTATAGATTTGTAATTTATTTATTTCGGAGACTCTGGCTTCGAACGACTCGGGACACTTTACATTTTAAAAGCAAGAATAAGATATTTCAGAAAAAAGAGAAACCTCTTTTTTTAAATTAGTTTCTAATATAAGATATAAAAATACAAAAGCAAATAATAGGAAAAGTACGGGAGGAAAAAGGGAAAAGTGTAGAGAAGAAGGGACAAAGAAGAAAAAGGCACTGATTTCCGACTCCTTTTGGTGCAGTAGAATAAGAAGTAACATCAAACCTCAATTTTTTACTTTTATCTAGTGGAAGGGTAGGCAACCTTGGCTCTTTTATGACTCGTCGACTTCAACTCCCAGAAATCCTGAGCCAGCATAACTGGCTGAGGAATTCTGGGAGTTGAAATCCACGAGTTATAAAAGAGCCAAGGTTGCCTACCCCTGATCTCGTAGTATAAACTAGCCATTTCTATAACAACAGATCTATCAATAAAACCCAAAATCAAAGTTTCATTTTTTTTCCACCTCAAGCACAAAGTCCAGAAGCGGTTTCCAAGTAGAAACAAAAGTACTTGCTATTTTGTTTTTGGATTTTTTAATCGAAGCAGTCAACTTAGCCATGTCTCCATCAGCTTTTGCAACCATTCATCCACTGTGGGGATTAAAGTGTCCTTCCATTTTTGTGCATGGAGTAGTCTCGCTGCCGTCAACATATATAACATCAAAGCTCCCAATTTTTCCCCAGCCAGCATTTGGAATTCTGGGAGTTGGAATCCACACATCTTAAAGTTGCTAAGGTTGAGAAACACTGTTTTTATTATTATTATTATTATTATTTCGTCAAGGCCTACCTCATAGCCTGTAATTGCTATTTGGTGCATGGAATCGTTCGCCGACTTGATGATATCAAGAACTGTTGCGAGAGCTTCTTCAAGTTCAGCAGTGCCTTCGGAATTCTTGCTGCATTTGATCATTTCCTGGTTGTAAAAAAGCAAGACTTCAGATTTCATAGAATCATAGAATGACAGAGTTGGGAGGGACCGTGGAGGTCTTCTAGTCCAACCCCCTGCTCCAGCAGGAGACCCTTACAAAATCATAGAATGACATAGAATGAGTTTCCATCCATTGCTTCTTGTCCTCCCTTCAGGTGTTTTGGAGAAAAGGTGGGACCCCCCCTCCTCTCTGGGGAATTTTCCATTTTCTATTTTGAACAGTTTTAAAGACCAGAGATTTCTGAAATAGGAAATAGTTCATCCAATCTCTCCTTCTATTTACAATCTCTTACAGATTCTAAATTGCCAGGACCAGTTTTCTATTTCCCTGTTTAATTTCTTCTATGTTGGAGAAATAGAATAGAATAGAATAGAATAGAATAGAAACTTTATTGTTACTTTAAATGTACACTATCAGCATACATTAAAATGATACTGCGACACACACACCCAGGGATCCGTGGATGACAGGTTGAGAACTACTATTCTAGATCAAGCTAAATCAAAAAACGCTAGGGGGTTTCTGGAATCACTGCATTCAGACAAATCAGCCATCAATACACACATAGAGATGAACCAGATTTACACACCATTCAAAAGAGGCATTTAAAAAGTTCAGGAGGAAGCAAAAAGAAACACATCCTCTTCAGCAGCCTACACCCAGGGATTAATACCAGACAAACAAGCAAGGGGAAAACAATATCCTAATCAAGAGACAATCAAGAGAAAAACCACACTCCCACAAACATTGGCAGGGCAAGCTACTGTACAGTTCTAGTCCTATGCTAGGTACAAAGCCAGCTGGGTAAACTTGGGCCAGTCATTTTTTTTCAGCCATGGCAAACCATGTCTGAAAATGTTGCCAAGAAAATGGGAGGGATTTGTCAGTCGGTCACCAGGAGTCAACATTGAACCAAAGGCGTACTTGCGTGCACACACGTACACACAAAAATGGTGCAGAGCGCAGATACAAGAAGGAATAAGCTAAACTTTAGATTAAAAAAAATACAATTAAACCTGGTTTACTTTAATGGTATTCACTATACCTCTGCATTTTTTTCTACCCTGGAAAGCCCTCCTAGTTTTCACAACATCCATATATACAGTAGTCTCGAACACTGCCTATTGTCCTTTGAATAGGAGAAGGAGGAGAGTAGGCAGAGCTGGGTGGCAGAGTTAAATGCATCATCAGTTTAGAATTCTTGCGTTGCCACAAAGGATCCAAATCCATCCCTCCCCCAATGAATTAGCAAGTGCTAACCATTAGCTGAGAATATTCCTGTGCATAAGCATGAGTAGCAATACATTAGTTTAATTTGACCTTCATGTGTGGATCTGATCTTTGGTGTGTCGGGTATATCTAGTGCAGTGATGGTGAACCTTTTAGAGACCGAGTGCCCAAAAACTGGCCCTGCCCCCACTCCACCCCCGCTCCACCCCCTGCCCCGCCCCCACTCCGCCCCACCCTGCCTGCCGCAGGACCACTCACTGCCTCCAGGGCCTGCCGCAGATCGCCCAGGTAGTCCAGCAGCGCCATGGGGGCCACGCCCTCTGCCCCCCCGCAGCATCAACTGTGCGCGTTGGGGCATAAGGGCAGAGTCTTGTCTACACTGCCTGGTTGCCATGTCCTTGGCTGCGCTGCTCCGTGTGGGCCACACTCAGGGGCAACTCTCCTTCAGGGGGGCTGCTGGTGAGGAGGGGGTCGCGGGTGGAGGCAAGGCTGGGGCAACGGCACGTGTGCCCACAGAGAGGGCTCTGAGTGCCGCCTCTGGCACCCGTGCCATAGGTTCGCCACCATTGATCTAGTGGTTATGAATATAAGCGCTTTAGTCTGGTAAGCATTATGTATCTGTATTTGTTTGTTTCTGTTTCTTTATTCCTGTATATTTTTTGCAAGCAACAATAAAGAAACCACTCCAAAGCAATTCCCCATGTTGCTCTTGGTTCCTTGGGCCTGATCATTTGTAAATCCACTCAATAATATAAAATAAAATAAATCCAATATTTGAGGAACTGCCACAAAGAAGAGGAGATGAATTTAGCCTCTGAAGCACCAGAAACAATGGATGGAAACTAATCAAGGACAGGACTAAGGAGAAATTTCCTGGCAGAGAGAACAATTAACCACTGGAACGATTTGCTTTCAGAAGTTGTGGGGGCTCCATCACTGGAGGTTTTTAAGAAGAGACAGGACAGCCACTTGTCTGAATGGTATAGAGTAGGGGTTTGGATTAGATGACCTCTAAGGTCGCTTCCAACTCTGTTATTCTGTTTCATTCATTTGAAAAACTGTTTTTTCCCTCATTCAGCATCAACACACTTTTAGAATGGACTGAATAATCACTCCCCCTTTTGTGCAATCAAATGCTGCAAAAATATGGTGCTTTTATTAGCAGATAAACCCGTTCTGAGGAGTCTTACCTTCAGAAGCAACTGATATTTGGTAATCCTCTGGACTGGTTTCAAAAGATAAGCATCAAGGGAAAGTTTATGATCTAATTTCCTCTGACACTCCTGCAAAAAACATAAGGAAAAGAGAGAATGAAATGCTACCGATCTAACTGGCTACACTAAGAAATAAATTACAAATTTAATTTTTTAAAAGCTAATACTCTTTTTGCTTTTATAAGTCCAATGTCTTGGGATATTCCCATGGTCGATTATAAAAAAAGATGATTCTGTCTTACAGAAGAGCATTTTTGCATATCTTAGGGAGATTAGACAATATTAGGAAACAAATAGCACACTGGCCCAAAGGGGCTTTTTCAAAAAGCAACTGGACTTTGTTTGTTTGTTTTTTTGTTGAAGATGTTTCGCTTCTCATCCAAGAAGCATTCTCAGTTCTGACTGAATGCTGGGGAATTAGAGAGCTAATGACCCACTTTCTAAGTGCTAACAACCAGATGACTGCAAAGGATATAAATCCTTCCATTCTCCAGCATTCAGTCAGAACTGAAGATGCTTCTTGTACGAGAAGCGAAATGTCTTCAAGAAAAAGTCCAGTTGTCTTTTGAAAAAGCACCGTTGGGACAACCATGACCTGGATGACTAAGAAAGAATCTCCAGAGACAAATAGCACACTGGTGAGTCTTTGGTCATTCGGGTTTTCTCCCGTGTAAGATTAGAAGTATCATAGCGACGTTTCGATGAAATCACATTCATCATCATCAGGCTTGTGCTTTTAGCTTTGTGCTTCTCAGAGTAATATGAAATGTCTGCTGTTTCTTTCTTTTAACTGCGTATGTGTGTGTGTAATATGAGAGTTTGATGTGGCAGTTAAAGGTAATCAGACTAGAACCAGGAGAACTTTAGTTCTAATCCTAACTTAGATTCAAAGTCAGCTGGGTGACCTTGGGCTAGTCCAGACATGTCAAACACAAGGCCCGGGGACCAGATGCGGCCCACGAAGTGGTTTCATGTGGCCCGCAAAGCCATCCTGGAAACAGTGAGGGAATGGCCCCCGCTGCCTTGGACCTGGCCCAGGCCAGCCGGGAGCCAATGTACAATTTTGTGGTGGCCATCTATGCTGAAACGCATTCAGTCTTAGCTCCACAAGGCCGTCTGGAACCAGCGAGGAACCAGCCCCTGCCATGTCGGCCCCGCCCCCTGGGTGCATGCTGGGGAGGTGTCACCCTTTGTGAGGAATGAAGAAATGGACCATGCCTTGGCGCTTGACCCGGTCCCACCCCCTTCTGCCAGAGACCCCCAGATCTGTCCCACTCCTGCCCAAGCCCCCACAGGCATCCTTGACGCGAACGATGTAGAGCTGGCCATGCCCACCCAGTAGGCCACACCCACTCCATCCACACCCACCCTGGCCACACCCACCCAGCCCCTCGAGGGCAACTGCAATGCTGATGCGGCCCTCAATGAAATTGAGTTTGACACCCCTGGGCTAGTCGTTTCCTGTCAGCCCTACGAAGAAGGTAAGAGCGAACCAAGTTTGAAAAGGTTGCCAAGAAAACTGCAGGGGGTTTGTCCAGGCAGTCACCAGAAGTTAAGACTGGCTTGCTACAAGAAGGGAAAGCATGCAGCAGTTCATCTGAGTGATCTGTCTCTTTCAGCACAGTAAATGTCCAATTGCCATTCCTTTCCTGCCAAGAGATTTGGATGCTAACTTGCAAAGATCATTCATTTTGCTGACAGGCAGACTCCCTTTGTTCCCCTCTTCTAGAACTTCCATTGTTCCAGCCACGAAGATAAATAATGTGTTTGCCAGAGGACAGCTATTGTACAGTCTTGGTGTCATTTAGCAATTCAACCTCTCATGAATTGAAGGCAAATATATTGTATTCCAGGATAACGTTGCAGGATCCAATCTGGGTCGCTCAGAAGTTTAACCTTCTGAGTTTTTGGACTCGTGCTGGAGCCCATCCTCAGGAACCTTCTCTCTACCAGAATATGTGGAACTTTCTGGTAGAGAGAAGTTCCCTGAGGATGGGCTCCAGCACAAGTCCGAAAGCTCGGAAGACTACACCTCTGCTCCCAGTGACCAACCAAGGAGAGAAGCAACCTAGAACTAAGGAGAAATTTCCTGACAGTGAGAACAATTAACCAGTGGAACAACCTGCCTCCAGAAGCGATGAATGCGCCAACACTGGATGTTTTTAAGAGGAGACTGGACAGCCACTTGTCTGAAATGGTATAGGGCAGGGGTAGGCAACCTTGGCTCTTTTATGACTCGTGGACTTCAACTCCCAGAATTCCTGAGCCAGCCATGCTGAGGGGAAAGGGAGAGGTTTCCAAGCTGAGCCATAGTGGCTCAGGAATTCTGGGAGTTGAAGTCCACGAGTCATAAAAGGGCCCAGGTTGCCTTACCCCGGTATAGGGTTTCCTGCCTGAACAGGGGGTTGGACTAGATGACCTCCAAGGTCCCTTCCAACTTTATTATTATTATTATTATTATTATTATTATTATTATTGGTGGTGGTGGTGGTGGTGGTGGTATTATTATTATTATTATTACCAACCAAGATTGAATCCTGCAATTCAGTCTCTACCCTTCTTGTTTACAGGTAATTATGAATGCAGTAGAACCTGCCATAACAACAATGGAGCCTGTCATAAATCATAACAATCTTGTTTGAATCATGTCATTTTCTTCCTCAAGGAACACCTAAGTCAGTCCTGGCATAACTTGAATTTTGAATCTTGAAGCAGCACTTTCAGGGGATGGACATTCCTAATTTATTTTAAGGAGATACATTCAATTCGAAATAAAAAGAAATGATTTGGGGATTCAGACCTCATATCATGACAGGATATTTTGAAAGAATAGTGGGGGTTGTGTGCTTTCGATCTGAAGGGCCATATAGGTAGTCCTCGACTTACAACCACTTGTTTAGTGGCCATTCAAAGTTACAACAGCACTGAAAAAAGGGACTTATGACCACTGCAGCATCCCCCGTAGTCACATGATCAAAACTGAGATGCTTAGCAACTGACTCATCTTTATCATGACTGCCGTGTCCCAGGGTCACGGGATCCCATTTTGCGACCTTCTGACAAGCAAAGTCAACGGGGAAGCCACTTAACGACCGTGTTACTAAAAACTGCAGTGATTCGCTTCACAATTGTGACAAGAAAGGTCATAAAATGGGGCAAAACTCACTTAACAACTGTCTTGGTTAGCAACAGAAATTTTGGGGTCAGTTATGGTCGTAAGTTGAGAAGTGTCTGTACAGTGAGGAAACAAGTGGAGTGGGGCAATGGCAGAAGTGTTGATTTTCCAACTCCTTCAGCCATGGAGGATTGGCTAATTTTAGGGCAACCTCATACATACATACATACATACATACATACATACATACATGCATGCATGCATGCAAGCAAGCAAGCAAGCAAGCTTGCTTGAGCTACTGGAAATAAGGTGGAAAATTAATAAATAAATCTAAGCAAACCAGTAATTTAAATAAAGATTAAAAGGCAGAGGTCTGCACTTGTGCAGAAGTGCCTTCACTAAGAGGAAAGTAGCGATGCTTGCAATCAATCCAAGCATTTGGCAGCTGGGTGTTTTGGTGACTTGGCAGGCATATTAACTCAGCAGATCACATAGAACAGGGGTCCTCAACCTTGGCAACTTTAAGACTTGTGGACTTCAACTCCCAGAATTCTGGGAGTTGAAGTCCACAAGTCTTAAAGTTGCTAAGGTTGAGGACCCCTGGCATAGAACCACAAGGAGCACAGAAAGCACCATTGTTAATCAACTTTGGCTACTTTAAGATGCATGGACTTCAATTCTCAGAATTCTCCAGCCAAGGAAGTTGGTTGGGAAATTCTAGGAGTTGTAATCCACAGGCCTTAAAGCAGGGGTCTTCAAACCAGGCCCTTTTATGACTTGTGGACTTCAACTCCCAGAATTCCTCAGCCAGGCATGCTCAGGAATTCTGGGAGTTGAGGTCCACAAGTCATAAAAGGGCCTGGTTTGAAGACCCCTGCCTTAAAGTGTCCAGAATTGAGAAACATTGATTTAGCCCAACCCGTTGCCTGGTGTGGGATCTTCTAACACACTTCTAAGACATGAGAATAATGGTCCCTCAGTTGGTTTGCTTTATTAAGCCTACCTGGAAAAAAGGGCTGTCTCCACACTGCCTCCAAAGAGCTTCTGACTTAGGCTTGTTTTGGCAATATTTTTCATAGATCTGGAGATCTTCTTTCTGCAATACAAAGGATGTCAGTGCTGAACCATGTAAATCAACATCCCGAAAGGAGAAGCTTTCTTCCCAAATCAATGTGCCAGAATGCACAAACCTCTTCTTTTGTAAATTTGCATATCGTCTATCGCAGACTTCATATTTTAAAAGCAAGCTTAGGTTTAGGCTTACGAGTCATGCTAAACCAGGACTTTATCAAGCCATTAAGAAGCCAAAACCAAACAGAATATAATCTGAGGAATGTGCATTTCTTTCCACAACTTCTATGATATTTAGGGACCACATCTGGAGCTTCATTGAAACTCCTCCAGTCTCCAAAATAACTAAGAGTTTACTCTTGCCTGCTCTAGTGATTTAACTGCATTTTCACCACATCCTCTGAAGCCCTTATGCCTGGCGCTTTATTGGTTCAACTCCCAAAAGCACAACTTCAGAATCCACTTGACTTGACTGCCTTTGTCCATTCACATTACTCTGGATAGATTTTAGTTGTCCCACAGGTTGTTGGAAGTGAAGACAATGTCATGAGCTGGGCAGATCACATGAAGTGTTAATACTACTTTATAATGCCCTGGTAAGACCACATCTTGGAATATTACATCCAGTTTTGTTTGCCACAATATAAAAAAGATCTTGAGACCCCTAGAAAGAGTGCGGAGAAGAGCAACAAAGATGATTAGGGGACTGGAGGATAAAACATACGAAGAACGGTTGCAGGAATTGAGTATATTTAGTTTAATGCAGAGGTCCCCAACCTTTTGGGCATCAGGGACTGGTTCCGTGGAAAGAGTTTTTATCATGGACCAGAGAGGGCGTGGTTTTACGTGCTGCCTGCATCCCACAGATGGGTCTTCGCTTGTTTGCACGGACCAGTTTCTGGCATATCCACGGACTGGGGGTTGGGAACTCCTGGTTTAATGAAAAGAAGGACTAGGGATAACATAATAGCCGTCTTCCAATATCTAAAGGGCTGCTACAAAAAAGAGGGGATCAACCAGAAGACAGGCTTATGATACAGAAGGATCTGGACAGACTTGAACACTGGGCACTATCTAATAAAATGAAATTCAATGGTGAAAAAAGCAAGGTTCTACATTTAGGCAAGAAAAACCAAATGCACAGGTATAGTATAGGGGGTACCTTGCTCAATAGCAGTAACTGTGAGAGGGACCTCGGAGTCCTAGTGGACAATCACCTAAATATGAGCCAGCTGTTTGCTGCAGCTGCCAAAAAGGCCAACACTGTGCTAGGCTGCATTAACAGAGGGATAGAATCAAGATCATGTGAAGTGTTAATACCACTTTACAATGCCTTGGTAAGGCCACACTTGGAATACTGCATCCAGTTTTGGTCACCGCGATGCAAAAAAGTACAACTCTGAGATCTTTCTCATGTCTCTTCTCGTTGTTTCTACTAATCCCCTGACCTCCGATTTCGTATATTCCTTGCTGACGACCTTAACCCATACAGATCAAATTACTTCTCTTCCTGCTCCCCCCTGTACTATCGTCACAAGGTTATAGAGTCCCCGACGGTGTTTCTTCTCCCTCAGTTCGATAAAACCAAGGCACCTGAAGGCAGGACAAGAAGCAACAGGTGGAAAGTAAGCAAGGAGAGAAGCAACCTAGAACTAAGGAGAAACTTCCTGACAGTTAGAACAATTAACCAGTGGAACAACCTGCCTCCAGAAGCAGTGAATGCTCCAACACTGGAAGTTTTCAAGAAGAGACTGGACAGCCATTTGTCTGAAATGGTATAGGGTTTTCTGCCTGAGCAGGGGGTTGGACTAGATGACCTCCAAGGTCCCTTCCAACTTTACTATTATTATTATTAACCTATTCTCCAAAGCACCTGAGGGCAGGACAAGAAGCAATGGATGGAAACTAACCAAGGAGAGAACCAACCTAGAACTAAGGAGAAATTTTCTGACAGAACAATTAACCAGTGGAACGACTTGCCTCTAGAAGTTGTGGATGCTCCAACACTGGAGGTTTTTAAGAAGAGATTGGGCAACCATTTGTCTGAAATGGTGTAGGGTCTCCTGCTTGAGCAGGGTGCTTGACTAGAAGACCTCCAAGGCCCCTTCCAACTCTGCTATTCTGTTATTCTCAAACCATAGGCAACCTTCATGAAATGTTTCACAAACAAATACAAAACACACACACACAAACTTATAATTTCTGTCCAAGCTCGGTTGACCTTGCTGAGCAGCAGATGGAACATTTTCTTATTCCAGATCATCCCATCAACACATTTTCTTGTTTCTTGGAACATCACACCTGGTCCAAAGGCCAGCCCAGTCAAATGAGCCAAGAAAGACATTCCTAAAAACTTGGTCTTTCTCTCTTTCAAGAGAAGCAACAATTTTCACATGCCGATGAGTCTCCATCTGCCTGAAACAAAGGTGGCTTTTTTCCAAAAGGCAACTGGATTTCCTTGGTTTTTTTTTCTTTGAAAACATTTTACTTCTCATCCAAGAAGCTTTTTCAGTTCACTTCTTCCATTTGCCTTTTAGAAAAAAACATCTTTGGGACAACCATCACCTGAATGATTGAGAATCTCTATAGACACCTGCCTGAAATATTCTTCTAGCAAGAAAAGTCCAAGGGCTCAAAAGAATAATTCTGTCCACTTTCTCATGGGAAGCAGAAAACTCATCTTGCTTGAAACCCACCCCCCCCACACACACTTGAATTATGGCTCCACGTGAAATCTGGAGGAGCTGACATGTCTGTCCCACCAAAGTTTAATGCTTCAAAGATTATGAAATCCAACAACAAAAAGTCATTTCTCTTTAAAAATGCCATAAATTGTACAAATGACCAAGTCTCACAACCTTTGCAATATTTATAGATTATTTCTGACAAGATAGGGAATGCATTGCTTTTAAAAATTAACCTTCCCTCTCATTGTAGTGCAAATGATTGCATCACAATTTTTGCTAGCTGGATTAAGAACACATACTGTGGTTTTAGGTAAAGGCAACATAAAACTTAATGGCCTGATTAAAGTAAAATTAAAGGAATTTAAATAACACATCAAGTTCTGATTAACCATGACTGTAACCTGAGCAACAAACAAAATAAAGAATATAAAAGCAAGAAAAGACACATACCCCAAAACACAATCCTGGCCTTGATTCAAATACATTCATTAACCATTCAAAGTTCTTTTTTTCCACTGACAAATCATAAATTGCTCTGTAAAACCATCTGACTTTAAACATTTGCGAAATATGCAATTATAATTCAGATGTTTATTCTTTGCCAGTATTTCTTTTTAACCAACTTGGACATTTGTTTTGTATAAATTTGTATAAACTTGATTTTTTTTGACTGAAGAATTAAACTCTCAAACTTATACACCTTCTGTAGCTCAGTACAGAAGTTAGCTTGTAAAACATATGCTGAATATTTCTAAGAGCACTTTTAAAAATCAAAACTGTGAGACCAAATGTACTGATAAGCAGACAATATCGGTCAAGAAATCATGATTTAGAACAGTGTTTTTCAAACTCGGCCATTTTAAGATGTGTGGTTTTAAACTCCCAGAATTCCCCAGCCATTATAGAAATTGAAGTCCACACATTTTAAAATGGCCAAGTTTAAAGACATTGATTTAATTAATCTTGACTACTCTGTTAAGAAATACACAAATGAAATTACTGATTCTGTAATAACAATAGAAGATAGAAAATATTGTTAATAATAATTACAATAACAGGTTTTTTCACTTTATTGGAAAATATTGAACTTGCATAAATTAAAAGAAAAGTTGAAAGATTCCTCCACTAAGCAACTTCTTTAGTTGTTTAATAGAGGAATCTTTCAACTTTTTTTGTTGAAGTTGTTTAGCAATAGCACTTAGATTTATATACTGCTTCATAGTGCTTTATAGCACACTCTGAGCAGTTTACAAAATCAGTATATTTGCCCCCAACAATCTGGGTCCTCATTTTACCAAGCTCAGAAGGATGGAAGGCTGAGTCAAGCATGAGTTGGTCAGGATCAAACCCCTGGCTGTGGGCAGAGTTAGCCTACAATATTGCATTCTAACCACTGCGCCATCACGGCTCTTTAATTGTTTAGTGGATTGCAATCCATCAAAACATTCCTATATGCCCTTAATTTAAGTGTTTTTTTCTTCTGTTGAATGTTTACGGATTTTTCTCTTCTCATAGGATACTAGACTCTAAGTAGGTAGCTCAGATCAATTTGTGATAGTTCTACAAAGGGGAACTCTTGGTACTGCATTCTGTTGAAGCAGCTGAACTCAGTGGAATGATCTAAGTCAGTGGTTCTCAACCTTTTTAATGCCGCAACCCCAACCGGTCGTAAGTCGAGGACTAAACCGGTCGTAAGTCGAGGACTAAACCGGTCGTAAGTCGAGGACTAAACCGGTTGTAAGTCGAGGACTACCCAACTGGTCGTAAATCGAGGACTTTCCCTGCCCGGGAGCGCCGCGCATGTGTGGTTCCGCCCCCTGCGCCAGCCAAGGCCATCGACCGTTCGCCGTCTCTGCCTCGTCCGGCTGGTGGTCGACCGGGTCGGGTTCCCTCCATTCCGTGGGCGGCCTTTTCCCCTTTTTTTACCGCCTGTTTTTTTTACCGCCTGTCGGAACGAACCGCTGGGGGCACTTTACCAGCTAGCTGGGGTTTACCCCAGGGCTGGGTGTCCAACTCTTGGTGACTAGAAAGTTCAAGGAAGCAAAAAATGTACTTGTAGGAGACGAACAGGCTGAGCCCGAGAGAGGGGTCAAATGCATCATCAGTCTCGAATCCCTTTGCGCCCACAAGAGATCTAACTCCAGCCCACCTTGAATTCCGTTGACTCTTATCTACCGCCAATTCACTTTGGCCGTTAGTAGTTCAGATTCTTGTAGAGAGCTTAACCTTGCAATAAATCTTTATACCCATTTGAACTGCCTGGATCTTCTTACATACAAATTATTTTGCTCTATTTTTTCATTTGTTTACAGTGAATGTGTTCGGTTGTCACATTTCTCCTTACACAATTTTTTTTTATTTCAAAATGTTTTCTCTTTTTCCTATTCTGTTACAGGTGGTTCTACACTTATGACCATAATGGAGCCCTCAATTTCAGCTGTAAGTCATGACTGTCGTAAAGTGGATTACTGCAGAACCGTATGCAATTTTATAATCTTTTTTGTGGAGATACTTAAGCAAACATGGCAGCCATAAAGAAATACCACAGTTGTTAAGCAAATCCATTATTCAATATGGCAGAGTTCCCCAACCTTTTTGGCTTTGTAGACTGGCGGGGGATGGGGGAGGGGATGGGTCTGCACGAGCCATTTCTGCGGCCCAGTTGCAAACACCTCATGGCCCACTAGTAGGCTGCAACCCAGAGGTTGGGGTCTCCTGCACTATGGGGTGCTTCTTTTCCTAGAAGCTGGAAGTAAATGCCAGTTTCTGGTCAAATGTCTTAAAAACAGTCGTTTAAATATGAGATGGGTGATGAATAAATTTAATAAATAAAATAATAATAATAATAATAAATCACAGTTACATGATTGCAAGATACAACAAATGGCCGTAAATGCAGGCCAAATGTTAAGCACCCATGACTGTGGAGATGGCCCAAACATTAGAAGTTTGAATCTGGGTTGTGAGTCCCTTTTTTCCAGATCCGTCGTAAGTTTGAACTATCATTAAGCAATCGGTTGTAAATCAAGGACTATGTGCTTTTGTTTCTCAAGTTGTGCAATAAGAAAAAACATGGGGAGGGGAGAGAATGAAAAATGAAAATTGAAAGACCTGGGACAATGAAAAACTCTAGCATCGTCCTGCCAACTAACTGGAAGAAAGAAAGGTGATCTTTTTATGTCTTTGGTTATTTGTTAACTGTCCAAGAAAGTTTCTTAACTTCACATGCCTTCCCATTTGGCTGCCCACTGAAACCCCAGCCTGAAAAGAATATCAGATTGCAAAAGGAAATTGGTCTGAACACCCTCAAGAAGAACAGATTAAATGGAACACTGTGATTCACTTACTCTTTTTAAAAAGCATCGACCCAGAAGCTCAGGTTTTTCTATGCAGTTTTCCAGCTCTTTGAGGAAGATTCTGGAATGGACATAAAATGAAAGCAAAAGTTTAAAAGAGGCTTTTCAGGTGAGGTCTTCAACTGAATTTAAACTACAAGGTCCCCTAGCAAGAAAGATTAACGAAGGTCTGAGGAGTATAATTTCAATAATTTTTGCACCACTTCGGAGAATATAGGCAGTCCTCATTTAGCAAACACAGCTGCTTCCAGCGAAATGGCCGCCAAGCAAAGTCATGTGGCTGAGAAAGATTGTTATGAAGATTGCAGGTTGCTGCTGTCTCATTTAAATAAAGTTTTATGAGGTCCTTGGTTGCTTTCGTGCAGATGTTTTATTACCAAACTAGGTAACATCATCAGTGCATCTGAGCTACAAATATTCTTTTCAACAGGTAAAGTTCTCTAGGGCAGCAATGCCAGCGTTATTCTCACTCCACCAGAGTGCATGTTGGCAGGCCCAGAAAGTTAGTTGTGTATGTGCACACTGGTTATAAATGATGTATTATTTTATATTTGATTTAGTTATAAAGGAAAACACGGATTGTCTGGACCTCTCAAAATTATCTGGCAAAATTTATTTCCGTGGAAAATGCTTTGTCGGATGACCCTTCGTGTCTATATGATTGCAGAAAGGAACCTAAGAACTAGAGCTGGAAAGCCATAATGACCGTATGTAGATGTTACGCAGAACCCATGTGAGATTTAAAATACTCAGATATATTATTGCCTTATATTAAAAATATTGCAGGCAGCCAATTATCGCTGCCAATGGATTGCAGTCAGTGTAGTTGCTTTAGGACTGATGTTTTATGGCCTCTAAATGACATCTCCTTCAAAGAAACGCTTTATAGCTACTTTTGGAGTGCCACCACAAACCTGTTATGAAATTCATAGATTTCTGAGAGGTTTCCAAAAAGAACTTCTTTCTTGTTCAAAACTACAGCTGGGATCAAGTGAATTAAATCAGGGTTGTCCATTTCTGAGGCATAGCCCTATTTAAGAGAAAGAAAGAGAACAGTGAGAGAACAAAACTATGAGTAATGAGTAAAATATCATTACTTCCTGCCTTCTTCCTGCCATTTCAGTCAGTTTTTCCATTCTAAGATTGCTTAGAAATATTAAACCTGGACTTTCCGTTTGAACTCAAAGTAGATAAATTCTGGACCAAAGCAATCCAGATTTTGCAACTCAAAGATATGAATTCCACCACCTGTACTCATTTCATAATATAAGCAAATTTGCCTGGTTTTCTCATTTTTCATAATGTATTCCCTATCAACCTACTGGCTTTGAATTCCAGACATTGCCTAGGTCAGTCTTTTTTAATGTCAGCAATTTTTAGATGGATGGACTTCAACTCCCAGAATTTAGTCATTTAACCTGGGCCACCAGAAGCGTTGATCCCATAAATAAATATATCTACTTAAGACGTTTATTTTACAATTCTGAAGCAGAGCTTGTCCTAACCACGTTGGGGCGGTTTGGGAAGTTAACCTCGGCAAGCAATGAATCACGTGATAGATGAAAGTATAAACACATGAACAGTTAGGTGCCGCTTTTAAAAAGCAAATATGTAGGTTCACATACTTTCACCAATAAAATCAAGACAGTTCTACTGAATGTGTGTTATGTATGTGTACACTTTGAGAGCAAGCAACTAAATTTCATTTTTTAATGTGTACCATTGTGCCCACATTAAAAAAATGACAATAAAGGTTATCTATCTATCTATCTATCTATCTATCTATCTATCTATCTATCTATCTATCTATCTATCTATCTATCTATCTATCTATCTATCTATCTATTGATTTCAACTTCATTGCTCATGTTTCGAAAGACACTGAACGTACCTTGATTATGCTCTGAAGTTCCTCAACATAAGCACGTTCGGTTTCTATCAATTCATTTATTATATGGCTGTGAGAAGAAAAAAGAGAGGGGGGGCAATATTTGTTAAGGTGCATTGTAATGAGGTAACAAAGCCATAAATAAGAGGATGTGAATGAATATTCAGACTTATTATTTATTAAGGACATTTATATGACCAACCAACTCATTAATGGTGATTCTGGAGGGCTTACAGAAACAAAATACTGAATACAAAACCCAATAAACCTTCATCCCCCGGGTGACAACAATCAAACCAACCACTTGATGGGCTCCATATCACCCTGCTGGCAAAACCATGTCTGTGGGGCCTTTTCGAAAGAGTGGGGATCAATCTTATTTCTGCAGGGGTGTTTCACACGGAGGGAACGACCACAGAGAAGTCTCACCAGATGGACCTCCTTAAGAGAGGGTATGTAACATTCCCTGCCTCCCAGTTCTGGTGGGTCAGGTAGGTCTTTCAAATAGGCCATGTAGGGATTTAAAGACAACACGGTGCAATCCAGAAGGCATTGTCATGAATTAGTATAACATTATACTGTAATATAAGCAAATGATAAAGCTCAAGGACCATACATCCTAAATTTAAAAAGTGCAGTTCGTGCAGTAGAACCAGAGTTTGCTCAGTTTTGAAAATTTCACTTTGCATTCCATTTATTCTCATACATCCTTCACATCAATCATATACTGTTCTTATCACATTCAATAACCAATCTCCAACTGCATATGGTAGGTCAACTTGTGAATAACTGTCTCTTCTAAAGCAACAAAGGAACAATAATTTTTCTTTCTCACATGTGTCTCTGACTTGCTGGAAAGCAAAAATCCAGTCCATATACTCCCTGCCCACATACACAGAACACAAAATGCCAATATACTGATTTTTTTTTCTCCTGTCACGTATAGCAGTGTTTCTCAACCTTAGCCACTTTAAGATATGTGGGCTTTAATTCCCAGAATTCCCTAGCCAGAATACTAATTGGGGGAATTCTGAGAATTGTAGGCTACGAATCTTAAAATTGGCAAGATTGAGAAACCTTGCCGTACAGAAACCACAATCCAAAATGTTGCGTTACAGATAGATTTCACAAAGTAGAGCCATTGGACTTTTGGGGAACAAATGAAGAACAAAGATGGCTCTGCGGAGAGCAACAGAGTAGAACTGACAACTGCAGTGAAATGAAGAGCAGATGAATAGACTGGGTTCTTTGCAATTCCCCTCTGGACAAGGAGAGGACTTGAGATTGCCCACAAGTGCTCCATACAGTCGCTCCTCACAAGAAGACTAGCAGTCTCTGGTGGACTTAGAGCTCTAAGAGATGAGGGAAAGCCATCTTCACCCCAAAATATGGCATTTTATGGACATTGGATTTGCATATTTTCTTTTCTAATCACTTCTGGATATTCCCCGTTAACTGCTTTTCAGTTATTAGAAACCTTAAAATTGATACGTTTTCTTCACAGCACTAGATGTATTTCCTTCAATCCTTAGTGAAATATATGTCAGGCGCAAGTAAACAGTAGTTGAGTCCAAAGTACTAAATGTTTATTAAATGCAACTTATACACAAGAATCTGATCTACTAACTATCAAGGCAAATTGATGCTATATAAGAGTCAACAGAATTCACGGGGCGGGGGGGGCTGGGCTCAGAACTCTTATGGTTATGTAAAGATTCCAAACTGATGACTTGCTTGACCCTGCCTTTGGATTCCGCCTGGTCATCTCTTAGAATAAGTTTTAAATAAAAGTGTCATGGTTCCGATAGATCAGTGTTTCTCAACCTTAACAATTTTAAGGCATGTGGACTTCAACTCCCAGAATTCCACAGCCAGCATTGCTGGCTGTGGAATTCTGGGAGTTGAAGTCCACATGCCTTAAAATTGTCAAGGTTGAGAAACACTGCGATAGATGAAACCAGTAAAAGAACTTCAAGGCAAGAATTCTTCCTTAAAGAACATTTTATTTAGGAAACAAAGTATTGGCACTTACATAGCTGAACCCAAGAATGAGATTCCCTCCTCCCAGATACAAAGTAACAAATTGCAATTCCCACCCCACAAGAGCTGTCATAAATCACATTCACCAATTAGCACAAAACTCACACTTCTACCAAACCCCAATTTCCGGCCTTCACCTCTTGGGACTCCAGTTCCTGTAGAACCATTGGCCCCAATCTTTCATGACCAGCAATAGCAGCCTCCCCAAATGACCACTTCTTGTCTATGTAGCCTGCTCATAGTGCATTGGCAACACAGTTATCAGTGATTTGGTCCCACGAATGCTTCACCCAAGTCACCATCTCTGCCAGGCTAGGCTTCACAAAATTCCCATGCTTATTTCTTTCCATTCTGTGTTTAGTGTAGTCACCGATTTCTCTGTGCAAGTGGTCCTTGAATGGCTTGTTGATGCGATATCCAGAGTCTGGATGGAGGGGATGTAGATTGACAAAGCACCCCTCTGATCAATTGTTGTTTGAGATGCTTGGCCCATAAACACTGCAGTTTCATCCATGGCAATCATGTTTGACAGCTGATAGTTTGAAAAGTCGATGCCATCAACAAAGGACTTGAGTGAAAGTGTACGTTTAATAAGTTCAGCATCCTGCAGCTTGAACAGTGTTGTTGATCTTCTTAGAGAAAGTTCATACTGCTGAAGGAAGCCATCCAGCCAGTGTTGTGATGCTTTGAATTGTTCTGGGGTTATTTCCAATTGTGGTGCCAGTGCAATGGCAAATGCTTGAATGTCAGCCCTGCGCACAACCAAAGCCTTTGCTCTCCTATCAGCAATCCAGTCACAGATGTTGTGTTCAGGTTCAGGAAATAATGGCTGCCTGCCTGCTCCACACTTTTGCTTCTTGGCATTTCCCTCGTCCATCTGTTGGCCGTGTTTACTGTACTCTGCTCGCCATTTACGGACCCCACGAAGATCCAACTTGTTCTCTTTGGAGAAAGCTGTAAGATTCTTGCCCTGAGAGTCCTCCACGATCCCTTTCTTGAATTCGACAGAATAGCTCGTTCTTTTTGAACTCATCTTGTCTGGGGGGGGCAAAATACGGTACGGTATTACAGTATTCCCTTAAAATCTGCCATTAAATTAAATCACCATTAAACCAAGGGTGTCAAACTTGATTTCCTTGACGGTTAGAGTTGGGGTTAGGCATTGTGCTTGCCCTGGGTTGAGGTGTGGGTGCATTATGCAACGGGACCCACTTCACACCAGGCGGGCGGGCGAAGTGGTTGGAGGGAGGGACTCGGAGTCCGTGAGGTGGACGGTGAAACCAGCCGGACCACCCGGGGTGGAACCGTAGAAAGGGCGGCGACGGGTCGTGCCGGCGAGACCCCGACGTCCCCGACCGGACCGTGCCCTTCCCGTACGCGGGGTGGGAGGGGCTATAGTTACCTGGTCCACCACCACACTCTTGCCATCGTGTTGCTTCTCTACCCCATGCACAGGCCCCGCTCCAGCCCTGCGTACTCGTGGCCTACTACCATAGTAGTGGCAAAAAGTAAGCCCTCCCCGAAAGTAAATCCTAGTGCTTACTTCAGAGCCCAAAAGAAAGTAAGATCAGGTCTTGCTTTCAGGGAAACACGGTATATGAGGCAGAAGTGGATAATACTTTTCTAATTTGCGGGGGTTATGTGTAGCTTGCATGGACCTCAGAACACCTTCTTCAGCTGCTGATCTTTGGAAATCTAAAATTAAACTCAGTGGTTTTATGAGTACAGGTAGTCCTTGACTTACAACCATAATTGAGCCCAAAATTTCTGCTGCTAAGCGAGACATTTAAGTGACTTTTGCCTCATTTCACAACCTTTTTTTCCACAGCTGGTAAGAGAATCACTGCCGTTGTTAAGTTAGTAAAATAGTTGTAAAGTGAATCTGGCTTCCCCATTGACTTTGCTTGTCAGAAGGTCGCAAAAGGGATCACATGACCCCAGGACACTGCAACTGTCATAAATATGAACCAGTTGCCAAGTGTCCAAATTTTGATCATGTGACCATGAGGGTGCTGCAACAGTCATAACTATGAAAAATGTTCATAAGTCACTTTTTTCAGTGTCATTGTAACTTTGAATGGTCAGTAAACAAAGATTGTAAGTCGAGGACTACCTGTAGATGCAATAGGAGAATCTAGGTAGAAACAGCTAATGGGAAAAAAATGGAAGGGCTTTAAGAAAAAATATTTTATTCTGGTCACACCCAGTTCTGGTCAGACCCACTCCCCTCCCTCCATGGTGCACACAAATTGACCCATGAGGCTTATTGTAAATTAGGAAAACCTTTGTCCCTTTGTTTTAGCCAAGAAGCTGGATGGAAAGTATAAATAGAATAGATGAAATTAAATATTATTTTTAAGGGGGAAAAAAAACCCCAAGGAAATCACCAAAGGCACTTTTTCACTCACTTGCAGAATTCAAGGCAAAATAAACTAAGAAATTTGCAAAACAGATAAAGAGAGAAGACCGGTCTTGCAAAACGTGCCGTCTGAGAGAACAAGGCCTCAAGGGGAATAGCTTTGAGCAAAGGCAGAAAAACGACGTGAGCTGGAACACCAGCCTCTGCAAAACACTTGCTACAATAACAGCAAAAGATTCAGCCAAAGAAGTGTACAAAAAATTCACCCCAATGGATGAACTGAAAACAGCACTCCAATTAAGGTGGCAAATCTGAAAATAGTGAGGTCTGAATCTGATGTGGTTCAGGTGGTCCTCGACTTACGACCGCAACTGAGCACAAAATTTCTGTTGCTAAGTGAGACAGTTGTTAAGTGAATGTTGCCCCATTTTATGACTTTTCTTGCCACAGCTGTTAAGTCAATTGCTGCAGTTATTAAGTTAGTAAAACGGTCGTTAAGTGAAATTGGCTTCCCCATTGACTTTGCTTGTCAGAAGGCCACAAAAAGTGATCACATGACCCCGGGGCACTGCAACTGTCATAAATACGAGTCACTTGCCTGAATTTTGATCACATGACCATAGGGATGCTGCAACAATTCAGTGAAAAACGGTCATAAGTCACTTTTTTTCAGTGCCGTTGTTAACTTCAAATGGTCGCTAAATGAACTGTTGTAAGT